TGTTGGCTGACAAGCATTTGGTGGACACGTTTATTCTGTTTTATCTGACGACATTGTATTTTCCTTTGAGGACTATAAGTTAGATAGGCTTTAGTTTCCATCAAAGCGAAACCAAAGACAAATCATCTGAGCAGCGTTTTTTAATTTTTAAAATCTGTTTTGTTATATCCATGCTTCGACCTCAGTGAAACTTTGTTTTTAGCCGTGCACTTGCTTTTATTATATTCAGTTTATCATGCCATGTTTATAGTTCGATGCCAAAGACGTTGTGAATGAACGAGCGGCTTTGTTCAGGAAAAAGATTGACGAAGCCGCCTACGCTTGTGCCAAGGGCGACTTTGAGCACGTGTTAAATCTTTACGATGAGGTGGTCGAACTGGACCCCACCAACCATGTGCTGTATTCGAATCGCAGTGCTATACAGTGTAAACTGGGCCGGTATCGCGAGGCATTCGCCGATGCTGTGAAAAGCATCGAGTGTAAACCGAGTTGGGCCAAGGTAAGATCTTGAGTTGGTTTGTATTTATTTTTAGGAAAAAATGAATGAAATTAAGAACTCGCTTTCAAGAGTGCACTCTCATGATCTAGTCAGCGAGTACATCAATATCTGTGGATAAGATATAATTACAATACGAAATGCGATGTTGGTACGAATCCTAAACAGGTTGCTCATAAAGACCCTCTGGAAAGTCTTTGAGGATGTGTGTCCCTTTCATAATAGCATCAGAGCTAATAACGGATATTCTCAACACTCAATTTATTAACGCAGCTTTCTGTGAACTCTTCAGAAGGATACATCACCCATCAATGTTGGAATCTGCTTTATCACCTTCCATCAGGGCGTGTGATGGGATGTCCTTCGTCCAGGATATTGTTATCTGAAATTATTAATTTGTTTCACACTACATCCGAAAACCAGTTTCTGTTTTTTGGCTCTGACTGGGACAAAATTTAAGAGAAGTAGAGCGCCGAGGCGAAAGACAAAGTATGCCATACTCTCTAAAGATAGTGTGTATGACGTAGACTCACTTGATCTGATGTGACTCACTTCATTTCACTTCCCATGACCACTTCCTTCGGGTTACGGAAGCAAATTTTGTGACCCGTAAACAGTAATTGCTCACATTAAATTTTTTTATAATTATCCTCTTTTCATCTGCATTTAGCATGCCTCTGTCTTTTCGGGTTCTGTGAAGATTGTCGCCAATTATTCTTTATGCTTCTATATCGTGCGTTTGGTTCCAGGCGCATTATCGAAAGGGACACGCTTTAATATGCATGGGTGAGTACGTGCCGGCGTTGGTGGCGTTTGCAACGGGCTTGGCGCTAGATCCGACGAATAAGCAGTTAGCATGGTCTCTGACTGACGCCGCTTCCAAGTGTCCTATCAGAGGTGAAGAGTCAGTGATAAGGAAGCGTTCCAATTTCATTATTTAAGTTTAGAGCAGTTTTTCGCGACCTTCAATGATATGAAGTGTTCGGGATTGAATCGAAGCGCGTTCTTGTTGATCAGCGTCGCCGGACAATCGCTATACACTGCCGGCTACGTCACTGAAGCGGTGGGGGTGCTGGAATTGGCAATGAAAGTCGGTACCACGTCGCTTAAGCTCCAGCAGTCATTGTTGAGTACGCTCTCATCGCTGTACTACAAGGTTGGCAACAGAAG